AAATAAATAAAATAATTGTTAAAGATTTGCAAGATTAGCAATCATTTGGCAAAAATAGTATTAATGATTTCGTTTCGGATGTTATTTGCATCGTAAGGCGAATTGGCAAGTATGGATTTTTCTGCATTGGCTAACAAAGATAGCAACTCGCCTACGATTACAAGCAAAAGGAGAGTTTCAACAACCGTGTGCAGTAGTGAAGCTGCATTTACGTCCGAAGCATATGCACTCCACACGGATTTTCGACTGATAGATGTTTTCTTGATACTAGAGTGCCCAAGTCCTCACCCAGCGCTGAATAGTTCGGCCGGTTGAAATACTACGGTTCTGCTCGGACGGCACGTACCAACTTTCAATGCTGGCAACCCCCCTCGTACTTTTAAAACACTTGTAGCACTTCTCGCAGCACGCTTTGGCGAGTTAAGTTCATGCCGACAGTTGGTATGCCCTTTTAAGCCGTGGCGTAACCGGAGCCCCTCCTCTCCCCACACCGCCCAATGGTTGTGAATATCAAGAAAACTTGCGCCTAATGGTACTCACACGAGCGCTTTGGCCGTTCCACACAAGATCGTTTTGCATCTATGACGCGCGTTAGCGCAACGCTCGTGTGATAGGTCTAAAAGAACTTATTGCAAAACACTAGTAAATAATATAGAAAATAAGTATTTGTGATACACAGTAAGAATTTCAACACTATTGGGTAACAATAATAGAAATAATGAATTAAACGAACTTAATTTCTTGAAAATACTATCCACTACAAGTCACAAAGTACAATATTTTACATTAAAATAAAATTATTTGCCACCTAATAAATTTTAATACATTGTCTTATGCATGGTTGTCCCCAAAAAGGAGCTATAGAAAAATGGTGCTATAGAAAAATTGGCACTTCTATAATTTATAATGTAAATTAATTTTCTTCATTGTTTTTGAAAAAAGATTATTTGTTTGGGGCTTAGCAGAGGTACCCTGGCTGGCCTCCTTCATGATAATGATTTTATGCCTGGTAAACTAGATCCTGGTCATAGAGAAAATACTATTGAAATGACAATAGTCATTCCAAAGTGGACAGTTTAACTCAAGTGCAATTGTAACAGACAAAATGTATCTAGAAGCATTGTTTTTACCTTTGTTGATTTGTGAATTATGTTTGCAGAAATTTCGCTTTGAATTGTTAGTTTCTTGATACTTTATTTTGTGGAGTTTTGAAGTGCCAAATTAGGAAGTAGTTTTTTGGCACTATGCAATAAGTACCTCATAACTCCATCTGCCAAAATTAATGTTAATAAAATAGATAAAATGATTGATAGTTTTCAACCCTAGTGTTGTAGATGAGTCACCTGAAGTTCCTCTCAGAATTGGGAGATCCGTTGTTGTTATTTTTAAAATGTTTGGCCAAAATTGAAGTAATTAAGTTTTCAGTGTAATGTTTATTTTTTCCTGGAATCCACTCGTTTTGCATCCACTTTTGGGGGCACTGTTAATTTTCTTGTAGAAATTCAATTCCATTCTCTTTTAAATTTCATAATTCAAATAATTTTGGTACTTTTTTTTACTAGCTGAATTTTGTATAGACAGGTTGGATAAGTTTGCTCCATAAGGAATTCTTATATTAACTATTATTTTGTGAAATTGAACTTTGTGAACTGTTTATAATGATACGAAGGAAATGAAACTGACTCCCTTCTTAAAATCTCATTATTTCCGTATTGTTTCTTTTTTATTGGGAGATCATGGTAACTGAATTTTATATCATAGGATATTCAGGTTAATTATGTTACTTGCCCTTTTAATGTTAAAAATTACACCCGGAGCTTGCTGGTAATATAATAAATTACATTACTCAAACTAGTAGTGCTACAACTTGGCACAGATTTTCTTGTATTATAGTAATGTTAAGTTCTAATAATTACATTGGAAATTGACCTGCTTCAATTATTTAAACAAACTGTTGCAAAACTTATTACCTCAAGTACAATGACAGTCCAGTCAAATGGTACTCAAAATGGGCAAATAGCAGAAAGCTTTCGTGTAGTTTTGATATTTGGTTCCTATGTTTTTGAGATAGCTGAACGTTTATATCAGATTTGCCCAGAAACACATTTCTTAAGCAAAACAATTGTAAAAGTCACAGCTTTTTGTGTTTTTTTTTAATCACTCAAAAGCAATCCATTTTTCGTAATTAGTGGTCGAGTGGGAAATTAACTAAAATAAAATTACCTACATTTAATGTCATTAAGATATTTTTCTCTAGTTAATAGTGTAGATGGGCACCGCGAAATTTGGTATCCCACTATCTCTATATAACTTAAAAAATATAAATTTTTCGAAAATGTTAACATGATATGAAATGAAAGGAAATTGCTTACATTTTGTGTACACGTTTTTTTCCCCTTCATTTTTCTATGGTATCGCCGTTAGTAATTTGGGGTGAGGAAAGCGTAGAGTAGGATTACTATTTCTTATATTGAGATAAAGTGAGATAATTGGTCCAGTCAAATGATACAAAATAAGAGAAAGTTTTGGTGCAGTTTGGATATTTGGTT